AAGAAGAAGAAGAAGAAGAAGAAGAAGAAGAAGAAGAAGAAGAAGGCAATTGGAAAAGGGGCAAACATCAAGAGAAACCTACACTTTGGTCGTTAATGCGACTTCCAATGAGCTCGATGATTTCCGCATATAGAGAGCTGAATATAGCCTCCCCGAGATCGCCTAAGTTGCCCATCATAGGATACTGCGAAACCACACCGGCGTAGACAGCTTTGTAACTGTAAGAATGAAGGACGGTTAGGTCAAAACTGGCTTGGCTTAATGCATGACTTCAAGTGCAGAAAAGTACCCAACGGATCTGCTTTGAAGCGAAATCCAAACACTGCGACAACAAACTTACTTGTTGATACGAATAAGACCCTTGGACCTCAGCTGCGCCTTGAAAGAATTAAGGCGAGAGGTTTTCATGGCAGAAGCCTCCACAAAGTTTGACTTTTGAACCGCTGGCAGGTCGCTAAAGAGAAAGGAGGGAAGGGTGAGAACACTGACATGCGGAGGCGTGTGTCTGAATGAAGATCAGGGTAATTTATCCTTAGTTGAAATTGAGGCAGTCTTTTACCGTAGTATAAAAGCGGACGACGCAATTAACACGCGTGAAAACATTGTTGAATAAATAAGCTCAATTCTTGCGGAAATACTAGTATTCTGGTCGCTATTCTACTCCGGGTAAGTAGGGTCTACACAGAGCTCTTCTCAAAGCTTTTATTGTGCATGAGGTTGAGGCAAAGGTAGGCATCTGCTTCCGCAAACACAGTTTGCCGAACAAGTTGCACTGCCGGAAAGTCATAAGTGGTGTGCCTATTTCGCATGCTCTGATAAGCCTAATTTACTGAAAGTGTTATGGAATTCTGAGGTGGACATTCTGGTATTAACTGCCGCCGTCTGCCAACCATACGCTAACCCCAAGCTAGCAGTAACTGAGGCCTGAACTTCAGATCTGCTGGCCGTGGAGCTAGGCGCTCAAATTTTGTCGGTTGCGATTGACTGTGTTGAAGGTGTCGTGGGAATTTCGTTGGCCGACCTATCTTGGATTTCAGGAATAAATAGAGACATCTTGTTTATAACTTTAGGCCGTATATCTACAGCCTATACGGATGTCGCAAGAGATAACAAACGATCTACAGTGGAGCCTCAGGGGACGAGCAGACCCATCTACGAGAGTTTCAGACAACGAGCGAGTGACTAGCAGAAAACTTGTTTCGATTTACGAGTTTCCGCTCAGTTAACGGGTTGCCAGTGAAGTGATGCAGTTTGATTGGCTAAGTTTCACAAAACAAGTGTTTCACATGACGAGCTCGGTACCGGAATGGATTAAACTCGCTAACTGTTATAGCCCAGTATTTCTAACCCGACTAATAGGCAGAAGAAGGCAAAAGAGAGGTTCTGATGGGCAATGGCTGTATTCAACAGTACACAAAGACTGTGTGGCGTGCGAAGTCTGCTGAGTGGTCCTTCAGCTTGTCCACTCCGGCATATTTATATGGCTCCGGTCTTTCCAGAATATTCC